GCCTGCCTGGCAAGCGCAAGGTCGTGAGTTCAGTTCCCGGTACCAGAGAAAAACCAAAAAAAAACAAAAAAAAAAACAAAAAAAAAACAAAAAAAAAAAGATCAGCCTGAACTGCATAGTGAGACCCTATCTCAAAAAGACCAAAATTGATTAATTAATTAATTAAAATAAACTAACAACTAAAAGCTAATTAACAACACATGGGAGTAAATCATTCTTAAATGGTGTACCAATTAAATGCCATATCTGAAGCAATATCTCAAACTCAGTATTCTCAAGCTAGCATTTGATATTTTTCTAATTTCCTTAATCATTGCAGAAAACAAAAGACAAGAAAGAAGAAAAAGTAGTATAAAACATATTTTGAAATCAATCCCAAAACACACAGGAGGGCAAGTGAGGGAGGGAGCACTCATCCTACCGATTTTGAGTGAATCTGAGGAATTCCCTCAAATTTTAATGAGACTAAAGACTAAAATAAATCGACAATACATAAAAAAAAAAAAAAAATAGCACCAGCAATATCCAGAGCTTAATAAAACTTGTGTCATGAAACAAGAATGAGAACTCCAAGGCTACTCCAAAACTTACTGAATTTCACGTAATTACTGTATAACAAATACAGCAATAACAAGGTTAGCCACTCTAACAAGTATCAGATATAAGTAAGCTTCCACACTTCAGAACTGTAACTTTCACCGGCCAGTTCTTTTTAGTCACCGAGATTAATGCAAAATGTAGTAACAAAGCACACTGACAGGGAGGACAGAAAGGTAGAACAACAGGGGAAACTGAGCTAGAAGGTACAGATCTATTTGCAGGAATACAAGGAGAAAAATATAGGAGATTACAGCAACAACAATTATTCTAGAAGTAAATTAATAAAGTAACCCTAATAACAAGAATGAACACTTTGCAGTATAATCCCCATTTAGCAGACGAAAAACCTAAACTATAGAGTCATATGGTCACTTCCACTGATCGCTGAATCCCTACAGAAGTATCCAGGCTTGTTGGGGTATGCTTATAATCCCAGCAGTAACATCTCAAGTTTCAGCCCAGCCTAGGTAATTTAGCATGAGCTTGTCTCAAAATAAAAAATTTTAGCTGACTGTGGTGGTACATGCCTGTAATCCCAGCACTCGGGAGGCTGAGGCAGGAAGATCACCCTGAGTTTGAGGCCACCCTCAGCTACACAGCCTCAACTACATAGAGAGATCCTGTCTCCAAAAACAAAAAACAAACAAACAAAAATCAAAGGCCTGGAAATGTAGCTCAGTGTGAAGGTCCTGTGTTCAATCCCTAGTAATGGTGGTCGGGGTGCTACCTAGGCTTAATCTCTGTCACAATTCCTCCCTAAAATGCTAAAGACCAGCTTCAGATTAAAATATACCACACCAAGAAACACTGGCAAAATTATAACAAGGACACAGGAAAAATTTTGGTAGACTCATTAAAAAAAAAAAAAAATCCAAAATAAGAGAAATTGAGTATTAGCAATACTAAACAAAAAAGTATCTACCAAGGTCTATAAAAAATTATTTGACATTTAATGCTGGTTAAGCTAACAAACATTCAGTCCATGAACAATAAATGTAAATGGGTTACATTCTCATTGTCTTTTAATAGAAGTACGCAAAATATACTTTTACTCACATGCACTTTATGTAAACACATACATACTTTTATATATGCATGCATAGTGAATACATACACAAGACTCAGTGACACAACTCAAAAATAAAGAGCTAGGGAGGGCCTATCCAAAATATGCAAGCATGCTAATACTGATAGCAAAGAAAACAGAATGCAAATTAAAAAGTAGTAAACAGGTCAAAGATAATAGTTCATGTTAATGTCAGTCATATACCATAGCATAAATTCAACAGAAGAAAAAATAGTTATTATAGTTTATGAACCTATTTATCCCTGTATAAAAAATAAAGCTGAATAAAAATACAAGCAAAGACTGGACTGTAACATATCTCTCAGAAAAATCAAGCTATAAAGCAGATATGAAACAGAAATAACAATACCACAATCAAGTTTGATTCAAACTCACACAAAAATACATAGATCACTGTATGCCAAAAACAAAATACATATTCTATTTAAATGTATGTGAAATATTCAAAAAATTCACCACATGAGAATAAGTAAGTGCTCACATATACAAAAAGAAGGTAATTCCTAGGGCAGAGTAAAAAGGAAAAAAAAAACTAAAAGCAGATGCATCCCTAAATCTGCTCTAAGAATTAGAAAATCACAAAAGGATAAACTAGCAAATCTACTAGAAAAAATTTAAATTCCTTATATAACAGCAGAGTTTTGTTTTTTTTAAAATCAAAGAAAAAGCAGGAACGTCTTTGGAATTATTAGGAAACAGCAAAACATCAAAATTTTCATATATGGCAAATATGGTACTTAGAAGGGAAAAAATATAGCTTGAAAAATGTAAAACTCTAAAACAGAAGAATAAAATTAAATGAAACTAGATTTTAAAATTTAAACCAGTAAGAATCAACATACAAAGCTTGAGACTGGCCACCCTACGAGGCAAACCTACTCAAATACTGTGTTTAGGAAATGTCATTGGTGAGAGTTAGTGTTTGAGTCTCTCTCAAAAGAACAACTGTTTGCTTTACTTGGTTGGCTGCTATCCTGAGACAGGGTCTCGCTGTACAGTTTAGGCTGGTCTTGAACTCACTATGTAGCCCAGGCTGGCCTCACATTCACAGCAATCCTTCTCCCTCAGTCTCCCAAGTGCTGTGATTACAGGCGTGTGCACCTGTTGTTGTTGGGGCATGCTTATAATGGATGCATGTTTGCTTTAGAAAGTGAAACAGAACTGACTGAAATAAAATCTAATCTATCAAATTATTTTGTATGAGTTGGCTGTATGAATCATGAATACCTTCATGACTGAATTACTGCTATTGCTGTTTTGGTCCAGTTAATTAATTCTCCTTTGTACCCTACTACATACCATTTCTGACTGAAACATCTGCTATACACACATGCATATGCACATGCAAATCCACACACACACACAAAGTAAACAACATTACAAAATCAAAATGGAGACTATTTAACAATGAGGTCTTTTCTCCTCACTGCTATCACTGGAAGTTACAACACATTCTACATTAGATCCCAATCTTCAAAGTACAATTTTGGGTAGGCAGTATTGTAAACGCCTGCACACCCCAGACCCCTCAGAGTTCCCACCCTACTCAGGAAACTGTGATAGAATATTATGTTTTGAGATCATGTTATATTACACAACAAAAAGATTTTGCAGGTGTGGTTAAGGCTACTAACGAGGGGCTGGGGATTTAGCTCAGCGGCACAGCGCCTGCCTGGCAAGCGCAAGGTCCTGAGTTCGATTCCTGGTACTGGAA